TCTCGGCAAACTTAGCAGAAATGAATGAATGCGTAGAACCTGAATCAATCAATACATATGCATTTTGAGAGCAAATTGGAAGTATACCTGACACCACTGTCTCAGCATTCTGAGTGTCTCCTGGTACCAGTGCAAAAACTCTGCCTTGCTTCATCGGTCCTTTCCCAACGTTACCTTTCTGTACGGAACCCGAGGTATTCTCATCTTTCTTACCATCATCAGCTCTTGTTTTAGGACAGTCCCTCATAAAATGACCTATTTCTCCACATTCATAACAAGCTCCAGACGCCCGACGACAAACCCTGAAATGTGGCTTCCCACAACTTGAACATGTCAGCTTAGTTCCACTTTCCTGCCTTGGGTTGCTTGAACTGCCAGCATTTGCTTTCTTCCTGGTACCAAATTGTGCTTGGCGATTGTCATAATTCTGCCTCTTCCTTTGGCTCTCTCCTGAACTCTGATATCAAGTTAGCTTCGGCCAGAATGGCTTTCTCCAGTACTCCGGCGTAAGTCGGCATATTGAGCATGTTAACTCGGTCTTGTATCGGTCCCCGAAGCCCACTTTCAAACTTCCTAGCCTTCATATAGTCATCATTGACCATGTGGGGTGCATACCTCGCTAACTCGGTAAAGGCACGGCCGTATTCAGCCACTATTCTACTGCCCTGCGTCAAAGTCTGGAATTCGGTAGTCTTGCGATCTCGAACACTTAGGGGAAAATGCTTGGTGTAAAACAACTCCAAAAATCGGGTCCAGGTCAAGTCTGGATTGCCTTTTCGAACCATCATCCACCATCTGTGAGCGTCATCATCTAGTGTAAAGGTTACTAATGTCACTTTCTGGGTGTCGGTGCTGGGAAAGATCTCGAACAGCTTTTCCATTTCCAAAACCCACGCTTCGGCTTTCATCGGCTCTATACCCCCTTGGAATCTCGGTGGCTTCATTTTCTTGAACTCTCTGATCAAAGCTATCATGCCGTCCCCATATAAAGTTGGCTGTGGAAGCACTTGTGGTACTGGAGGAGGTGGAGGAAGAACTGCATTTCGGCCGTTCGTCTGCTCGGCCTGAGTCGATGTAGCACTAGCGTATTACTGTCTTGTCTGCCTTAGCTCGTGGGCCAAACCTTCAACTAACCTTTCCAGTCTGTCTAATCTGTCCTCGGACTGATCTCGGCCAACTGGAGGTCTACCTCTCCTCATGATGCTATGAGTATGCAAAATGTGACTTTAAAACGAAACGAACAAATAAACACGTAGGCAAGTAACAATTAAACATGCCGAGACGATGCACACCTTGTTCACATAGCAAACAATATGATGCAATCCTAACATCCTTCTAAGGGAAAATCCTATGCTCTTTAGGACTCAAAGTGTGTGAATAACGTATACTAAGGAACTTGTGCTCTGATACCATTCTGTCACGACCCCAAATCGCCCCTAGTAGTTTGGTGCCGTGATGGCCAGTAATCCGAGATTACCAAAGGCCAACTTTCAAGATTCACACACAACAGAGTATAAATATATGGGGTTCACAAGTTCGGAAGCAATACATACAAATCAGATTAGTCCATAAGAGCTGTGCCTAAATCAAATGAAATGGCAAACATCTACACATGGGTTACAACTTAGTACAAAAAAAGCAAAGTACTTATTACATCTTGATCAAGAGGCTTCTCAAGCCGACGTGTGCAAAAATATAAGTATTACAAGTCGAGAAGCATAATTTACCAAAAGCTAAGAAGCATAATCTTCAAGATGCTAGCAAAACATGAATCTGAAAAAAACTTGCAAATAACATCTAGGCGTCACTGCCTTTTTGCTCATCACCTACATATATATAGAGAGGGTGAGCTTGGATACTCAGTGAATGATATAAATAATAAAGGGTTTGCATGAATAATAGCCGAAGTCTTTTCAAAACAATACATGTCAAAACTTTATATGACAAGGGATAGACCTCGTCCATCTAACAAATCTTCAAAGCTTCAAGGGATGCTCACTAGCTCCAACATATCACAAATGATGACATTCCGATAAACAAAACCCACGCAGTAAACCGTCAGTGGCAAAACAAGACAAAGCAAGGGAGATATCTCAAGCAAGGGTGCTACAAAAGTTTAGAGTCCTCTAGCACAAAGGACCTATGTTACAAAGGCCCGTAGCCCTTTAACACGAGAGTACTGCAAAAGTTTAGAGTCCTCCAGCACAAGGGACTTTCAAAGCAAGATGTGCAGTTGCATTATAGTCCCCTGGCACTAAGGACTTTCCGAGAAGGTCATCAAAACGAGATAATGCTTGATATACAAGATAGGGACAATCATTCATGCTTAAATATTTTTCAAAATAAAGCAAAGCAAAGCTCATCAAAACATTGATAACATAGCTTTATTAGAAATACCACTCACATAGTTCTTCAAACGTCGGGGTCAAGGCAAGTCCAAGTCCGACAAACACATGGCAAAGTCTATTGAATGCACTTCTCAAAACAAGTCTTGCATGCATGCAAATGACCTCGACATTCTTCAAAAACTAAGTCAAATCAAATCAAAACACAGTTTCTTATCTCTGGAAAACATGCTGGGCAACTACCAGGTCTAGGCCGAGGTCCCACACCTCCTTGTCGAGGTGTGGCCTCGATGGCCACATTCAAGGAAATGAAGTCGGGAAAATCTGGGTTTCCCCCTCTTGAAGAACATGACGAATATGAAGAACATGAACATGAGGAAGATGAATCCAAAGATTAAAACTTGCTATTACAAAATCTGAGATTTTATACTAATAATCCAAAATCATGGACTTGGGTACCCAGACTCGAAGATCTTATGAAAACAAACACAAAACATGAACCTTAAAGCAAACTTTCGGATCAAACGAGGCTTTTCTTCAAGAACACATGAAAACCATTTTCTCTTTCCAAAACCAATATTTAAATCAATGCATGACGTGCAGAATAGGTTTGATCGTGCAACGCAGCTAGATGATCAATAAGAACAACAAGAGTAGATTAAGATTCTAACCTCAAAACTAGGATCTAACGGTTCAAACACCAACGATCAAGCTTGGAAGCCTACTTTCTCACTCAAGACTTATCCTCCTCCTTCCTAGAGCCTCTCTCTCTAAAAGACAAGATTTGATACAAAATGATATGTTTTTCTCGACAGTCATTGACTTAACCCTCTGCTGGGACACGTGGCATCGACTGATTGGCTTTTCTCAAAAAGGTGACTGACTGATAAGACAAGACCATGACAAAGTGTACTCAACAAGCTAGGCGGCAAGAGCACTCCGACGAGTAACGACATCGGCTAACAACAAGACTTCGGCAAGCAAGGGGCAAGGACATCGGCTTGGAAGGACAACACTTGACTAAGCTGTGCCACACCTTGGCCTAGATGTGCCACACCTCGGCCTAGGTCATACCATTCCAGGAACAAAATCACTAAGTGCAAAGATCAAGGATCTAGAACGCCTAGATAATAATATCTCGGCCTAGATGATGCACTTCTCGGCCTAGGTGACCCGCACCTCGGCCTAGATGGTGACATCTCGGCCAATATGCCAGGGTGGAGATGGAGGTCAACAGAAGTGGTTCCAAGATAGTTCTACGTGTAGAAAGGTTCCAAGGTGTCTAGGCTTAAGATGACTTTGGCAACATACCAGGCAAGAACAAAGCATGCAAGCAACATTCGAGCAAAACAAGACAAGATTTGCCAATGCACATAACAAAACAATATCATACATAACTGTATGCAAGTATGACTAAGTTGAAGTGAGGGTTGTTACAGTTCAAGTCTTAGAGAATCCTTTTATGTGGTGTCTTCTACATCTTAATAAATCATGAATTATTATAATTAAGAAGTTAGAACATTTCTTGACAGGGGACTTTTTTTACTTGCGAGCAAGGTTCTGAAAAGCGGTTGTGGTCACCGTAACGGTGGCGGTGGCGCAGTTGTGGTTGCGGGGTGTAAAGGCCGTAACGTAATGGTTGCGGTAATCGGAGCCGTGAATTTTTTATTTTTCCCAGAATTTGAAAAAAATTACCGATACACATTTTTTTTTCCATGATCATATTTATTGGGTTTAAAATAAATATTGATCAATTTTTGTAAATTTTTAAGTATGATCAAATATATTTCATATTTTATTATTATTATTATTATTATTATTATTATTATTATTATTATTATTATTATTATTATTATTATTATTATTATTATTATTATTATTATTATTATTATTATTATTATTATTATTATTATTATTATTATTATTATTATTATTATTATTATTATTATTATTATTATTATTATTATTATTATTATTATTATTATTATTATTATTATTATTATTATTATTATTATTATTATTATTATTATTATTATTATTATTATTATTATTATTATTATTATTATTATTATTATTATTTTCGAACAATATATAGATAGACACACACAAACAAAATAGTTGAGTGATAGCAGTTGAATAGAATAGCATAGGTCTTATAGATTCAACAAATTAGTAACATGTTCTTCATCTTCCCTCTTTTCTCTCTCTATCTGTTGCTCCTCCATTTTCTCTTTTTATCTCCCCTCTTCGTTCTATCTCTTTCCTCATTTTCAGCTTTTTTTTTGTGTGTGTTTTTTTGAAAGAAGCAGTTCAGAAACATTACGTAACGGTGCGTAACAGGCCGTTACGGCACCATTACAATCGTTACGGCAGCCGTTACGGCTGACACACCTGTGAATCTCAATCACACTGCAAAAGCGGCCGTAACGGGTGGCGGTAACCACCACAACCGTTACGTAACGGTTGCGGCCGCTTTTTAAAACCTTGCTTGTGAGTTATTATTTTTTGTCTTAAATTTTCAATCTTGTTTGCTTTCTATCTTTTCTCTCCACTCTCTTCTTTGACATCCCTGATAAAAGATTCAGAGTATATTTCTATGTTATTCTATTGACTGTTTAGTTGCATGTTTGTTTGTTATTTTTTGCTTAATTGCAGATATGATGATGAGAGGCGTAGTCGGAGCCGTTCTTATGAAAGGTATTTAGTGTTCTTTCTCTCCCTCTCTCTCTCCATATTGCTCTTCTTTGAATTGTGCTTTTGGACATTTTATCTGATGCCATATGGATATTTTGAAGTGTCTACCCTGCTCGTCGTACCCCTAATCCTCGGAGGAGCCCCTCTCCTCGCAGGACACCTCCATCTAGGGGTGGGAGTCCTGATGGACGCAATCACAAAGAATGCTCACCTACTCTAAAAAGTGTTTCTCTGTGTGGTAGACCTGCTGATTCTCAAAGCCCTTCTCGACATTCCAATACTGATGTAAGTAATATTCCTCAACTGTAAGGTTGATTGCATCCAGACTTTAGTGGCTTAACTGGATTTTGGGATTTCTGTTTTGTAGGAATAGGGAGTGATATAGTATGTGATGAATCTTCAGCTCGTATTCTACTCGTCGTACTGTGTGTAGTTGAAACTGCTTCGGGGGAGGACATCTTGAGATTTTCAATGTTGTTATCAAATCATTGAATGCTAGAATTGATTGCTCAGGGCTGATATATAAAGTAGACTATTTTGTTGTACTTGATGCATCCTCAAGATTTGATGGTACTGTTGCACTCCAATTGTCATGGGTTGGCTGCATTTTTAATATTTCTTTGTTCTTTTACCTTGTTTTTAAATCATATTTAATTTTGTTTGCATCTTTGTTAATATCTATTCAGATAACTGAGCTTTTTTACTTGTGATGGACCATGTACTGGCCTTCTATATTGTGTCTGGGAAAAGTGAATGTGGCTGACTTGCTGATGATGTAGCAGCTGTTGATGCTGTGTTTATTTTGCGGTTGGTTGATATCATTCTTGCTGCTTGCGAAGTACATTGTTTTTTTTCAAATCTTCTCTGATGATGTCATCATTGGTAAGGTTTAAAACTTGCATGCTACTGAAGTCCCATTGGACTCTTGACTTTTGAACTGACCGTCCTTACTTTTGCTGACTTTAAATCTTGGGTCTGGAAGGCAGTTTAGCTGATGCAGTTAAACTGTTGGACCAGATATATCATAGTGCCGATTTTAATATGAACCTGCTTGAGCTGGATATTGTAGCATGAGGTTGGACATGGTGACATAGTTACATACTTTTTACCAATGTTTGGTTAGACTTCCCCTCATTTATTCTTAGCTATTAGACTGTTACCAATTGATGTGGCATGTATCAATGTGTTTTGGTACATGCACCGGTGAATATGGCTTTGAGCTGATACCAGTTGCATATTGTGACAGCACATGAGGTCGTGAATGTATATGTGAAGTGATAGCCGATATCTTCATACATCGGTTGTTGCTGCACTTCTTGCTGATAGCTTTTGAACCTGGTCTTACCATTTTTCGTGTTGATGAGTGACGCTTGGTTTGGTAGCTGTGGTGCTCCAGTAGCTGTGCTCTGTTTCATTGCCTTCCAGTACATCATGCTGATGCTGAATTTTAAGTTTTGGTTTCTTAGTCCATCGCATTGCTCTTGAAGGTATTTTTTTGCAGTCATCCAACATTTTGTCATCTTTGCTGCCTGTTTCATGCATATTTGGATTATGTATCTGTTTATTTTTTAATTGCATTTTGTTGAATCTGATAACACTTCAATTTGTGTGGACGCTTTTTAGCTACGGCAATTTTATATCATTACAATAATGATTAACTTATCCAATAAATATTCAGCAAGGCTCATGGTTCACTTTGTAGTGAAGGTTGAAACGTTGAAGTTTTTCACTGGGTTAAACCTTAACAACTCTGTGTAGCCATCCTAGTAGCTGTTGACATGAAAACTGGTGGTCAATTATGTTATTATTTTTCCGGGGGAGAAATCACCAAAAAATGTTTGTGTTTACGCGAGGAACTCCTATTAAGGGGGAGGGAAAGGGTTCTGACCATTAATGAGTGAATTTACTAAAATAGCTTTGTGGACTTCTACCAACCAGCTGTCTATTTGGCCGGTCATCTATCAATATTTTGTAGTGCAAAATTAACTGTTCATCTCTGTTTTTGTTATTCTCTTAATACCGGTCCTTTGATTGCTGCTTGAGGAAAGTATGCCAAGCCTCTTCTCAAATGAAAGGTTGCATTGATAACCGATACCAATCTCATCTCTCTTCACAGCTAAGATGAGGAGCAGAGCAGAAACAAGCCATTCAACAGGGTCACTCATTGAACTGCCTTTTTCTAGGAGCAAATATTCTAGGGTCCATTCCTGCATCCCTGTATTGCTTGTGAAATCCTAGTCTTTTCTACACCTTCAGAAAAATATATCTGTGATGTTCTTGATCTTGAAGCAATTGGATTTGACAAGCAGTAGGCTTTTTGTCAAAAACCTTGCTGAACTACAATGGGTCCCAAAACCACCAACTGGCTTCACCTGAAACGCAATAGGAAACTTTGACTTGTTTGAGGAGTCAATTTTATGAGAATCTATTGTCTAGGTTTATCCTCTCTTCTTTCTTTTTTATTATTTATTTTAAATCAAATTCAACAAATCTCATTCTGCTTGTGTGATGAAACCCTTTTATCAGAAATCTGACCAATCCTTGCTAGCTTGACTTATCGAGCAATCCTTTGGGTGATGCCATCTCTACCTTTTTTTATTTTTGTTCGCTTTTGCACTCTTGCTTTGCTATGATGCAGTGTTATTTATTTTTATTAGCCAAATTTTTGTTTTTTTTTTTATCTGATTTATGTCATGTAAGTAATTTTCCAAACCCATTAAATAAAAATTAAAGCAGACCTATGAGATTTGTGTAATGTAAGACTTGTACTAAGTTTCTGTATGGCTTTAATATAGTTGTTGTGACAGTCAAGACCCTATTGACTGTTTGAAACTTGAATTTGGTGTGATTTATGGAAAGAAATTAAAAAGAAAAGAAAAGAAAAGAAAAAGCTTGTAGAAAATTTACATTTTCCTTCTATTTTGTTTTGCCATCTTAAATTTTATTTTTATTTATTTATTTATTTTTATTAATTTTTTTTTTTTTCAAATTCAAGATTTAGACAGGCTGAAGTTTTTATAAAATTTGGGGACTTGAGTTGATCTGGTGAAATTTGAAGAATCCAAGTAAATTTTGGGTAAAGTTGGGGTGAACTCTTTGAACTTTTTGTGTCCAAGATGGTTGTGGTGATTACAAAGGGTTGGCATTGAAAAGTTGGCTAAAATTACAAGAAAGTTTTTTAAAAAATATTTTGTATCTTTTTGGATATTTGGTATGACAAATGTTTTTTTGTGATAAATGGAAAATAAGCTCATTTAGAAAGAAAATGTTTCAATTTTTAAAAGTGAAAAATATTTTGCAGACTAAAACTTTTTCACCATAACCACTACCACCACCACCACAACCTCTATGATTCGACCATCACCAGTACTGCCATTACCATCCTGCCATCTCCACTATCAAACCATTATCACACTATCATCACTACTACTACCACGATAACCAAACTAGTACTACCACGGCTACAGTTATGGTACGTCCATAAGAAAATGTTATAGAAAATGTTTTTAAGGTGTGAAGTGCAGATTTAATGTGCTCTAAATCTCTTATTAAAATATTCATTATGTCAATGATATAATTTTTTTAATAAAATTTTTACACTAAAATTCTGTTTGTTTTGAAGTAAAATATTTTTGTCAAAAATATTTTATTCATTTTTTGTTGTTTGGTTGAACAAGAAGTAAGAAATATTTTTGAAGAAAAATATTTTTGCATTATTTTTTCAAAAATAAATTACTTTAAAAAAATTTATAAGTCAATTTTTATAAAGTTGACTTTCACTTATTACATTTTCAACATATTTAGCATTTTCAAATAAATATATTAACTTACTAACAAGTCATAAATGATAATTTATTAAATTAAAATTTCTTATTTTGGCAATTAAATATTTTTTATTTCAAGTATCAACCAAACGCCGAAAAACAAAAATATTTTTTTTTCTGTGTAAAATCAATTTACAAGAAAAATATTACCAAGTTTATTTTTGAAGGACTCAATAATAGTAGTTGTGGAGGGAAAGAAATATGAGACCTGGCCTAAATCCAATTACGCTAGCCCAAGTCAAAAAGTGGCAAGTCCAAATCCATCCCTTATAACCCACGAAGGACAACTGACAATAACTTGGCATCCAATCAAGTTGCGTGAAGGGACAGACAAATATAAAAGATAATAATTTAAAAGGCAAATCTATAAAATAAAATAGAGGCGTAGGATTAAGTATCATCCAACGGTGACGAGTATAGAATAGACAAGATTAAGACATAGGCTGGACTTAGTAGGAGGCAGAGTTGTTCGATCAATTTAATCTTACGAACAATATGCTCGGCGAACTGGTCACTAACATTTAACATCATCTAAGCTGTCCATGCACCAAAGATCTAATGATCAAGGACGAGGCACACTTGGCAAGTTGTCCAACCAAAGCCAGGTATGGGCAAAACCCTTCGATCAAAACAAGATTCGACGAATGAGATTTGAGCCAAAATAACTATAAATGGGTAAGCTAACGAAGTACAATGGAACGAGTAATAAATCCAATCTAAACCAATCAGGGTTGTGTAAAATACCACCCAATACACTAAAACTGCACCGATCTGCATCAATTTGTACCGCTCTATTCGCTAACAGTAGATTAAACTTTAAAATTTATAATTCATGTTCTAAACCGTTTTGCTCCACTATAGTTAATACATATATATTTTTTAATCTCTAATGAAATATCAAAGTAAAAATAAGTGTGAGAAAAATTTAAGATGTGAAATTTGTTATAAATTAGTAGTTATATATATATGAAACATATTATGTAAAATTACTTTGTGTTGTATATATAAAAAATATTATCCAAATTAGTATTATATATTATGCAAATATTTGATAATTGGTTAGAATGTTTTTCAATTCGTGAATCCATCCAAAACTGCCCAAACCATGATTTGTCAATCTGTTAATCCTCCAATTCACCATTCAGTTTGTAATTTTACTCCCAAATCACCTGAACCATACCACGTACACTCCTAAACCCAATCATGCTCAATCTTAATCAATTTCTACTTCAAAAATATTTCCTTTCTTATATTTGAATGCTATGGTCAATCAGTGTACTGAGTTGATCGTTGGAGGGTTCTTCCGACCAATCTTGGTCAAGAGTAATCACTAATGTTTGGTTTCTCTTTATAGAGTATAAAGGATTGGATGTATCATTTCACTTTATCTATAAAAATAATTTCACCTTCCACATTAGTAAAGTGGGACTCCGTATTAACAAAATCACCTTCCACATTAATAATTTCACCTCACTAACAGATTAACAAAATCGCCCAGGTGACTCCGTATTAGCAAAGGAAGCCGTTGGGATTATAGAGTAGATGATTATGTTATCCTGTTGTTTTACACTCAGCTCATGGTTTGAATCTCTGTACTGAAAAATTTCTGCTAGTTTATATGAATGTTTTAGTTGAAATTGCAGGTCTTTGTCACTGTTTCTAATTAGTGGAATTTGCATCAAGTAATTCATCATATTTCGGAGCTTCAATATATATATATATATATATATTTTCAAAATTTCCACTCGAATCATGATCAAAATGTCAAATAATGAATCATGAAACATGTCCCAACATTATCTTTTTAATTATGAGTAATGCTAGGGACACCAAATTTTCTACCAAACAAATGACCAAATGTCTCACATGGATGTGGGGTCTGCAATTTTGTGGGCCCCACACCCATGTGAGACATTTGGGCATTTATTTGGTAAAAAATTTGGGACCTCTAGCATTTTCCTTTAATTATAGTGGAAGTGGACAAACTACCAGTGGTAAAAGTTTGATGGCTTTATTTGGGTGTTTACTTACTTTCTTATTGACTTATTTTATTTTTAGTGAATATTTAAAAAAAAAATTAGAATATTAAATTTTACTCAAAATGACTAACTGATTTTTTTTAATAAAATATCTAAAAAAGAAAGAAAGAAAAAAAGAAAAAAGAAAAAAAGAAGCCAATAATAGCAACTATTTTGGCTTTTTATAATTTTTTTAATAAAAAATTTCTTTTTTTTTTCTTTTTTGAACTTCTTAAATTTGTCTACACAAAATATACCTAAAAAGTAAGAAAATTTGATATAATTTTGAAAAAAAAACAAAAATTTACTCAAAACAAAAAAATTTGAGAAAAAATGTGTTTTCAGTTATAGTCTCTAAACTTCCATTTCTTTTGTCTGGTGATAGTTTGGTTGCATTCGCTTTTTTTCTTTTCTTTCTTTCTTTTTTGAACTAGTTGTTCTGTTAATTATATTCCGAGATAGCTATGCCGTAGTAATCACATCAAAATTTCATTAAAATTTTCCCTGTTTCAAAAGAAAAAAAAACACATAAAATTTTTTTCCCCTCTTTTTATAATTATATTGTTTGCTGATAAAAAAAAAAAAAAAAGAAGCTAAAAAGCACCATCAATGTGGTACATTTGACAGGTCATTTACATTTGTTGGTTGGCATTAGCAGTCCAAATTTGATAGCTGTGCAACAAGAATATTTATAAATTTCATATAGTTAATTTCATTTCCGAATGACAAAGCAAACAAAACCTAGTCAGATAGACATGAAATAAATAAATATATATTTTAATTCTTGCACTTAATTCCATTACGCTAATAATTTATTCATTTAATCTCACCATACTAATAATTTCACCTAATTTAACTTTAAAAGCAAACAAAGCTTATTTATTTTTTAATTCTTTCACTTAATTTCATTACGCTAATAATTTATTCATTTAATCTCACCATACTAATAATTTCACCTAATTTAACTTTAAAAGCAAACAAAGCCTACAAGACAAGTGAAGTCGTTGGCTGTTATTCAACCCCAAAAAAAGAAGTCATTGGCTATTGGAAGTGACTGTTGGTCAGTCTTAATTTCAAACTCTGGGTGCGGATTTCTTTCCAGAGGGACATGATTCTTTTGCAGAAAATAATGTGTTGAGTTGGTCAATCCAAAATTTCCTGTCTCACATAGCACTTTTTCCTAGTAGTTTTATATAAAGTCATTGCCTTGACGGGAGACTCCACTATGTAGCTACAAGATAAACAAAGACCGTTGCCCAAGTCTATGGTTTAAGACCATTGCCCAAGTTTATATGCCATAGTGTGCCCAAGTCTATAAGCCATAAACAAAGACCATTGCCCAAGTTCATACGCCAGAGTTAGTGTGCAATTTGGGCAGGTTCGATCAAATTGATAGATTGTTTAACTTAACTCGAATTATGTTGAGAGTTGTTCAAGTTTTCTCCTACACAACTCAAACAAATTTTCTTATATTTGTAGTTTTTGAGAATTTTTCACCCTTTTTATTTTTAAAAAGTGCAATGAATTGGTTAAAGACAAGTCAATGCACACCACAACAAATTATTTTTTCTGTTAAATTCGAGCAACCTGAGCTAGAGTTAAAGTTTTGAAATAAACTCAGTGTTCAGGCTTGGATAAGGGAATTAATAAAGGTCGGGCTTGAGCCAGACTAGAGCAAATCCATCTACACTTTGGACCGGGCTTGTACAAACCTTTAATCTGCAAATATCCCTAGCACAATGAAGAAAAACACTTTAACCAAAGTTCACATATAACAAAATACAAAATGCCCGATCTACAATAGAACATTCATGTCTTGTACTAGCTGCTTTAACCATTAGCATTTATTCTGTTCACTTAACTCCACTCGATTCTGATGTAACTCCACTCGATTCTGATGCTTTCTAGGAATAAATGCTAATGGTTAAAGCAGCACTTTCCCAAAGCTAGTGATGGAATGGAAGAGAAGGAACACTTTGTCTTCAGTAAATAGGACCAATAGACTTGCCAAAACCGCTTAATGAAAAAAACAAAAACAAAAAAAGAAAAGAAAAGAAAAAGAAGATGAATAAGAAAAAAGAAACATATAACAAAGGGCTGCCCTCCTAACTCTAGAATGGGCTCTTGCGCTAAAAAACAACCCAAAACCTGCTTGTTTAGAGATTCAAACTGTTATTATCTAGTTTTTCTATTTTTAATTTTATGACTGATACAAATGGAAACTCTTAACATGCTACACAAAAAATGCTTTCAAAAAAATTCAAAATGCTATTGAGAAGAATTGAACCAGGAACCATATGTAAACTATGCATGTACTGAAGTCACAATGCTAAAACACTTTTTATTATTACCTATGCTCTTCTTTTTACTAATTCTATTGTAGATCTGAACAAAAAGACTTCCATTTTCAAAGCCTTCTATGACAATAGACCAGTGGAAAAATGTGTATATAAATTAGAGCCTTGAACTACCCATTAGTTCATCAAAGGGAAAAGCAATGAGAATGTTAGAGAAACAACTTTGCCTTGTTTCCTTAGTCCTGTTTGTTACACTCTTTTCTTCAACCATAAATGTTACTTCTGTTTCTGTTAAAGAAGCTAATGCTCTCATCACATGGAAAGTCAGCCTGCAAAGCACAAACCATTCCCTGCTAACTTCATGGGTCCTTTCACCTCATGATAACATCTCAACAAGTGCCACCCCATGCAGCTGGTTTGGAGTTACTTGCAACAATGGAAACGTCAATAGGTTGAACCTCACAAATTCAAGTCTAAATGGTACGCTCGACAACTTTGTATTTTCATCGTTTCCCAATCTTGCATATAGCGATCTTAGCATGAATAACCTCTTTGGTGTCATCCCACCTCTAATTGGCTCTCTCTCTAAACTCATCTATCTTGATTTGTCGGTCAACCAGTTCTCGGGAAACATCCCACCACAAATCGGCCTGTTAACAAATCTTGACACTCTCCACCTAGTCGAAAATCAATTGAATGGCTCAATTCCTCAAGAGATTGGCCAGTTAAAGTCTCTTACTGATCTTGCTTTGTACACCAACAGTCTTTCTGGACCTATTCCTGCTTCTTTAGGAAATTTGAGAAAATTGGCTCGTCTATATCTCTATGAGAATGATCTTTCTGGTCCCATTCCTCCCGAAATGGGAAACATTGTCAATCTTGTCGAGCTTTACATGGATACCAACAATTTCACTGGTCCCATCCCTTCCACTCTTGGAAAATTGAATAACCTAACTGTGTTGCACTTGTACAACAATCACCTATCCGGTTTCATTCCACAAGAGATAGGAAAGTTGAAATCACTCCAGGACCTAAGCTTTGAAATCAACAATCTTAATGGCTCAATTCCAACATCTTTTGGTGATTTGAGCTCCCTAACACTCCTACATCTTTGGAATAATCAACTCTCTGGTTCAATTCCTAAAGAACTAGGAAATTTGAAGTTCCTCACCAATCTGGAATTGAGCGAAAATCAACTCAGTGGTCCTATTCCTGCTTCATTAGGCAATTTGTCTACATTAGAAATTCTTTTCCTTCGTTCCAACCAACTTTCCGTCCCATTCCACATGAATTTGGCAATTTGACAAACTTGCTTGTACTAGAAATGGATGACAACCAGTTTTCTAGCAATCTCCCAGAGCTTTGCCAAGGTGGTAAACTTGTAAACTTCACTGTGAACCACAACCAGCTCACAGGTACAATTCCCCAAAGTTTGAAAAACTGTTCAAGCTTAGCTAGAGCTTGCTTTGATGAAAACCAATTCATTGGAAATATATCCGAAGATTTGGGTGCTTCTCCAAACCTGGTCTACATAGATTTGAGTTACAACAATTTTTCTGGTGAATTATCAGAAATTTGGGGAAGGTTTCCAAATTTGAGACTCCGAAACTTAGCGAGGAACAACATCACTGGTAGCATTCCACCGGGGCTTGGAAATTCAATACAACTACATCGACTTGATCTGTCTTCAAATCGTTTAGTTGGGGAGATTCCAAAGGAATTTGGAAAGTGAGAAGTTGGTTTTATTTGATAACCAACTTTCAGGTAGTATACCTGAAGAACTAAAATCACTAACTGGGCTTTCATATCTTGATCTGTCCACAAATAGATTCAATGGGTCAATACCGGGCATTCTGGAGAATTATCAGAATCTGTTTCACTTGAACTTGAGCAACAACAAGTTTAGCCAGAAAATTCCAATTCAGATGGGTAAGTTATTTCACCTTACCGAAATGGATTTGAGTAATAATTTTCTTACAGGAGAAATACCATCAAAACTCACAAATTTGAAGAGCTTGGAGATGTTGAACCTCTCCCACAATAATCTCTCGGGTCTCATTCCAATGGGTTTTGAAGATATGCATGGCTTGGCATTTGTTGATATATCATACAATCCGTTACAAGGTCCTATTCCCATGAGCAGCGCCTTCATGAATGCATCAATAGAAGCACTACAAGGGAACAAAGGTCTATGTGGAAATGTCAAAGGCTTGCTGCCTTGCAAAATTCCTTCTGCATTGCCCAAACACACTCTAGTAAAGAGGACACTTGTTCTTATAATCGTGATTCCTCTTGGCGGAGCACTTTTACTTCTTGGTGCATTCACTGGACTTCTTAGTATCTTCGATCCAAGAAAGAGAAAGTCGCAAGTTGAAGAGGGTGACACCCAACCCCCGAATGAAGATTTGTTATCGATATCAATATTTGATGGAAGAGCAATGTACAATGACATTGTGAAAGCTACCAAGGATTTCGATGCCACATATTGTATTGGAAAAGGAGGATATGGAGCTGTCTACAAGGCGAAGCTACCATCGACTAATATAGTAGCTATGAAGAAACTTTATCCATTAATCCGAGAAGGCTGACAGGAAAAGTTTCTTAAATGAGGTAAGAGCATTGATAGAAATTAGGTATCGAAACATAGTGAAGCTTTTTGGGTTCTGTTCGCATGCTCAACACTCTTTTCTAGTTTATGAGTACCTTGAAAGGGGTAGCTTGGCTGCAATTTTCAACAGAGAAGAAGAAGCTAAAGAATTGGATTGGCCTAAACGGGTCAATATTATTAAGGGTATTGCAAGCGCTTTGTCATACATGCACCATGATTGCACACCGCCAATTGTTCACCGAGACATTTCTAGCAACAATGTTTTGATTGATGAGGAGTACAAGTCTCATATTTCAGACTTCGGCACCGCCAAGCTTTTGAAGCTAGATTCCTCTAGCTGGAGTGCACTTGCAAGCACATACGGATATGTTGCACCAGGTAAACAAAGTTTTATGCTCTTGTAAATTGATGTAGAATCTAAAATGTAAGAAAACAAGTGCTTGATAGTTTGTGTGTGTGTGTGTGTTTTTTTTTTCATTAATTTTTGTTTTTGTTTTTGTTTTTGTGTAGAGCTTGCTTACACAATGAAGGTAACTGAAAAGTGTGATGTTTATAGCTTTGGTGTGTTGGCATTGGAGGTGATCAAAGGAAAGCATCCAGGAGACTTCATCACCTCTCTGTCAACCTCAGCTATCAAGAACATAGAACTAAAGAATGTGTTGGACCAACGCCTTACACCTCCCTCCCCTGAAATTGAGAAGGTAGTGATGTGTAGTGTAAAAATGGTAATTGCATGTTTGCATGTCAATCCACAATCTAGGCCAACCATGCACATTGTTTCTCAATTGTTATCCACCCAAAAAATTTCGTAGAGGCTTACCTATGTGCACAAAATTGCTGTCTATGAAAATGCACAGAATTGATCCCTTTCTGTTTTGCATATTTTTCTGTGCACTAATTTAAAACTAGAGCCTCAAAGATAGTTCAAAGCTATTTTGGTTAGTAAGGATATGTTAGATATTAGATAAAACCCAATCCTCTCTATTACCTATTGAAATATACTTTACATGTAGGTATTTTTATTGTAAGAATAAATACTGAAGAGTGAAAATCAATAAAAAGAGAAATGTACGCTTGGAGCTTTTGTGTGCCATGTGTGTATGGTAGCAGCCAAACCACACGCATACGATGTGGCTTCTCTCTTTATTGTCATCTTATTTATTTTATTTTGTGTAGCTTTTATTTTTATTTTTCTTGAATATAAGCCTACCTTGTAGCACCAAAATGTGTTGGCTTCTTTTATATTGATTTGAAAGAGCAATGTTGCTGGGATGCTATTTTCTATTGAATAATTACATATGAATTACTAAAATGGTTCAAATTTGATGTTGGTGGTGATGAGTTTGTGGCGGTGATTCTGGGTTTGATGGTGATTTGAGATTTGGTGAATAAGGAGGGAGGTGGTTGTTGGTGGGGAAGGAGGCGGTGGTTTATGATAGAAGCTGTAAAAGAGAGGGGAGAGGGAAGAGATTAACATGTTAAGGAAGAGTCCATGACAAGCTTGATTCACTTTTTCTATTACAAATAACATCATAAATTTCATCAAATGATGTATTGCAAATCTGTGATTATCAATCTAAATCTCTATTTTTATTTGTTTTTGTTTTGTTTTGTTTTGGATGATGAATCTAAATCTCAGTTTTAGTAAGTGAATTTTGACAAATTGTATTTAAAAGAAAGTGATATACAAGCCCATTTTCTAGATCCATTTTTTTAAATCCAATGATATGTAAGTGATATGATTGGTTGATGATTAGAGAAGATATGAAAGAGTATTACTTTTAATATTCTAATTGAATGCCACATCACTAGGCTTGAAAATTAAATTAAATTTTTTTTGTCTTGAATAGCAATGCTTTTAATATAAAGATTGGAGGTTGTAATGAGATTATTAGAAACAGCTATAGCAATACACAAGTATTCTTATATCATCTTTTAAAAGGAAATTTGATATTCTTCTTTTCCATTTATAAGGGATCTCAAAAGTCTAAATACCATTTATTCAACAAGTATAAATTACCCATCTATAAAAACTGTAAATTTAATAATCTTGTTGGCTTTTTGGCTTTCGAAGGTTATTATTGTAATTGCGAGCGTGCCAGCAAGGATCAATCAATCCTTACAGAAATTTAATTGCCAACCAATTATCAGACGATTGTGTTTTAGTTCTCTCAGCCTCAATGAAGAGGACTTTTACTGGTGGCTTGATTTAGGAGAATTAAGCAAAATATCAATCAAATAAAGAACAACTGAAGCATTTCATTAGAATGAAAAACTTACAATGATCCAAACTCAGCCTCGTAGAGGTTTACAGCGACAATCTACTTGAAACTACTCCTATGAATGAAGTGCAGTGCAGGAATTTAAAGTGCCGGAATGTAAAGAACAGGAATGTAAAGAACATGAAATGTAAAACTAAGTAGAATAAGACTGGTTTTTTGGATCTGAGTCTGGGGGCTTTTTCTGGGGCCTTCTTTGCTATTTATATTGCTCGAGGATGACCATCGAATTGCATTTCCAACCGTCGAACTGCTCCTCCATGATCGCTGATTGTGTTGCCCCAATATTAGCTCCATTACGCCATTACTCGCAGTTAAGCTTCCCTCCTAAATTTGAATTTGAAATGCGAGTAACCGTTGAAGCCACATCACCTTACATCTCTTTATTGATCCATTGCTACTCAAATCTCGTAATAACCAACACTAACTGCCACGTGTATGATCAGGATCGAAGACTTGAATAGTCTTCCTATATCACCCTTATTCGCGTCGAATTGTAATTGGCTTGTACAAAATATGTAGTCAACATTACCCCCTGCACTAATATACCCAATACTTGGTGATATTAGTGGATCAAGGTCTTCTTCCCACATCTTAGAACGTGCATGGGTTTTGCATTTTCCCAGAAATGCAACTGTCGTTCACTATCTGCATTAAACTCTCCTTCAATCTTTTGAACACCCCCACCACCTTAGCATTCGAACAGACTGATACATTTTATGGCCGACTCAATTTTTTCCTCCAATGATCGAGCACACGAAGAGTCATATGACAATGCTGTTCCTCCTCGAAAGAACCTCCATGCATTAATCAGCCACCTTTACCTCCCTTTCTATATTCAGGTCATGGATGCTGTTGTAGATTATCAACCCTTGGACTTCGAACAAATTGCCCTTAATTCTTTGATTTAGAAACTTACAAATATGGACATAGGAAGTTCTTCTTCTGACTCACCCTTGGATTACGAACAAACTGCTCTTAATCCTTTGATTTAGAAAGTTACAAATATAGACATGGGAAGTTCTTCTTCACAACCTTCTGCATGGGGTAGGGCTGCATCTTCTTCTTCTTCTGTGGCTTCAGACTGGACAAGCTGGTCAAAACCTGAGGCCTGTGATTTGAGGGAATGAATCAACCATCACTTTGTTGAGTTTACTGACCCTTTAGAGTTCCCTTCTTATGCGCGGAGCTCAGTGGTCTATCCCTATGTGCCCATTGACCATCGACGCAGTTTGGAGGAGAATCTGCTTGTGGCATGGTATACATCTTCCATGCCTACAAAGATAGTGCACCCTGCCCAACATCTAGAAGAGGCACAAGGGTACAATCCATCATTCTTAGCCTAGAAGGCAAAGATTTGTTCTTCTGACTGGCTTAATTATATTAATGCCTTTGTTCCTTCTGTCCTTGCTTCTTCTCCTAAAATAGAAGCATCCACACCTTCTCCTCCGCTCAATCTTTGCTGGACAGAGAAACTGAGGCTTGCCCTCTCCACGGATAAGGTCTTTCTACCTTACAAGCCTCCACCTTCCCTACTTTAGCTGAGCGGAAGCAAGCTCAACTTCTGCTCGCGGCTTTCTCTCACTTGCCCTTCAATGTTCTTGAGGACAAAGTCCCTCTCAAGAACCTTCAATGGGCTTGTGACATTTTGACTCGGGGTCATGCCCTCAATCCCCTCGCCCAAGCAGAACTTCACATTTTTTTTGGACCAACTTCCATTGCTTCTCTACTGGCATCAGACCTCTATGGCCACCACACAATCTTTAGATCAACTTTCGTCCCTTCGAGTTCATGCCCAGTATGAAGCCGAGAACTTCATTGAAGAATTTGATGATTTCAAGAATAAAAATTCTGCGTAC